AAGAGATCCACAGGAAATGGCTCCCGAGGACAAGAAAAATGGATCCCAGGGACAAGAAACCAGTTCTGAGGGGAAACGGATCCAAGTGGATAAGAAACGGACTCAAAAGGCATCAGAAAAATGTGCCCTCCAGGATGAAAAAACCAGCTCTGACGAGAAATGATTTCAAAGGTACAAGAAAAAAAGTCTCTGAGGGGAAATGCAGCCCCAGGGACAAAAAAAAAAATCGCTCCAGAGGGACAAGAAACCAGGTCTGGGGGGAAAATGGCTCTAAAGAGACACAGAACTGTCTCCAAAGGGACAAGGAACCGTCATTGAGGAGAAACGTCTCCAAGAGGACAAGGAAAAGGGCTCCTGAGGGATCAGAAATGGCCTCTGAGGGAAGATGAACCCAAAGGGACAAGGAAACTGGCTCTGAGGGGCAAAGGATCCAAAGGGACAATAAAAGTGTCTCCAAAGGGATAAAACCTTGGCTCCAAGGTAGTGGATCCAAAAGGACAAGAAACATCTCCCAAAGGATGAGAGAAACATCTCCAGAGGAACAAGAAACCATTTCTGAGGGGAACTGGAGCCAAAGGGACAGGAAAAATCCAGTCTCCCAAGGGAAATGCATCCGGGGGGGCAAGAAAATGGCACCTGAGGGGCAAGAAACCAGCACTGAGGGGAAACGGATCCAAAGAAACGATCCACCGGGATTCACAAAATGTCTCCAAGAGAACCAGCTCCAGAGGGACAAGAAACCATTTCTGAGGGGAACTGGAGCCTAAGGGACAGGAAAAGTGTTTCCAAAGGGACAAGAAATGGTCTCTGAGGGGAACCGGAGCCAAAGGGACAGGAAAAACCCAGTCTCCCAAGGGAAATGCATCCAGGGGGCAAGAATGTGGCGCCTGAGGGGCAAGAAACCATTTCTGAGGGGAACTGGAGCCAAAGGGATAAGAAAAATTCAGTCTCCCAAGGGAAATGCATCCGGGGGGACAAGAAAATGGCGCCCGAGGGGCAAGAAACCAGCACTGAGGGGAAAGGGATCCAAAGAAACGATCCAACGGGATTAGAGAAACGTCTCCAGAGGGACAGGAAGGGGCCACCTCTCCTTGCCCCCCAGCACCCCCAGATCCCCCCCCGGGGACTCACAGCGGGTGTTTGTTGAACATGACGGGCAGGAACTCGTCGACCGGCAACATCTTGCCCAGCGGCTCGGCCGCCAGCAGCTTCCGGGCGCCCGACAGCGAGAGGACGTAGCCCAGCGTCCAGTACGAGTAATCGGCTTCCACCAAGTTCCTCACCCTCGGCACCGACTTCTCCGGCCGTTCCACCTGCATCCGCTTCCGCCCGATGTAACTGCGGGAGAGACGACGGCTTCGTTAACGCCGGCGAGTTGATTTTTGCCGCCGGGTAATTAGCGACCGGACTCACATCAGGTCCCAGGGCAGCCCCTCTGCTTCCAGGTCGTGCATCAGGTTCATCAGGCGGCGCTTGAAGAAGATCTCGAAGCGCAGGTCGTCCTCGAACACCACCGACTTCTCCAGCCCCCGCGCCACGATCTGCGGAGTTAACGGAAAATGCGGGATTTTACAGGAAAAAGGGACGTTTCCCAGTTCTCCTGGAGGTGGGAGGGATGGGAATGGGGCTGGGGTTTGGCAGGAGCGATGTCAGTCCCGGGCAGCTCCAACAGTGGGCCTGCGGGATTAGGGATTAGTCCTGTCCTTCCCATCGGGATTAGGGATTAGTCCCGTCCTTCCCATTAGGATTAGGGATTAGTCCCGTCCTTCCCATCGGGATTAGGGATTAGTCCCCGTCGTTACCATCAGGATCAGGGAGTTTTCCCCTTCCTTCCCGCTGGAATCGGGGATTTGTCCCCTTCCTTAACACCCACGTTAAGGACTCATCCCCTTCAGTGCTGTCAGGACTAAGGACTCGTCCCCGTCCTTCCCCTCGGAATTAGGGATTTGTCTGCTTTTTTCCTGTCAGGATTAGGGAGGTTTCCCCTCCCTTCCCCTCAGAATTAAGGATTTGTCCCGTTTTCCTGTCAGGATTTGGGATTTGTCTCCTCCCTTCCCCTCAGGTTTAGGGAACTGTCTCCTTTTTTCCTGTCAGGATTAGGAATTTTTCCCCTCCCTTCCCCTCAGAATTAGGGATTTGTCCCGTTTTCCTGTCAGGATTAGGGATTTTTCCCCTTTTTTCCTGTCAGGATTAGGGATTTGTCCCCTCCCTTCCCACTGGGATTAGGGCCTCATCCCCTTCATTACCCCCAGGACCAG